GTAGAGGAGTTTGACTCGATTTAAAAAAAAATGCTTCTGAAAAGTGTTTCTAAAGTTTTCTAAATACCCTCTCGATATTAGGCAACAAGACTAGAAATAGCACTAGATACCGAGTGTCTCAAAAGGGTTAGGAAAAACAAAGAACACGATTAAAGTTCACCTTCAAGGTATCAACCAGGGATTTTACCCAAAAGGAATTAGAAATTGAGTCTTTACTATTAGTGATATTTAATGGCCCGCAAATTAAAATATTATTAAAATACGTCAAACAAAAACGCGCGTAATCTGCGCACACACAGAAAAGCGTTATGATTGGATGTATTAAAAAAAAAAAAAAAAGGTGTTCGGGACACGTACCATGTGCATCCTATGCCCCAAGTATTATAACACACCACGCGGTTCACGTTGTAATAATATCTAAATATGTTTTTTGTTGAGAGAAACAAAAGGACGGAAAAATTATTTTAAAAAATATAGTTCAATTGGCAAACACTTAATTGGAATTTTAAAATGTGGATGGATTTATAATATTGTCTTTATTTAAAAGAAAATATAAAATCACTCTCACTAACTAGTTAGCCGCTAGCGATCAATGTCAAAAGTCTGGTAAGTTATTGGGTCAAAAGTTTGGCTGTCCTGTCAGCAACTTTTTTTTTTATAATATTTATAAAATAATTGAAAACTTTTATAATAATATTCACAATTTAATTGACGTACTGTCTGTCAGGTTTTCAAACTAGGACATTTTCAACATTTGTAACATGATTGATAACTCTTATAACAATATTCACAACTCTACTAATGTTATTAATTTATTATTCAAATGTTTTTTAAATTTTTAAATTGATTTTTTTTTAACATTAGTAATGCAATTGACAACTCTTATAATAATATTTATAATTTTTTTAATAGGATTAACTCTATTAAGGCCATTGTAAATAAAATGTCACTGTTCATCATTTTCATCCCTCGTACCACATTCTTGAACCGTATTTGCATTTTCATGCCAGAGAGGTAGAAAGTTTGCGGGACCTTTGGCACAGATGGTGGGACCAGAATTGTTTCCCCCCCTTTTTTTTTTTTGTTATTTCTAACCATAAATATCATGCACCGGGGGAAGCAAACTTTTTTCTTTTTTTAAATTTTATTAAGAATTTCCTTTTGAGACTTAGAGAGCAAATAATTTCCACCCCTTCTGATAACTGCGTTTTTTGATATTTAAATTTATGTTTCTCTTCTCATGAAAGTACGGCCACTTACCACTTTAAGTTACAACTTGTTAGTGAGGGAAGCAAACTTTTGTATTCCATATTTTCTAATTAGAACACCTAATTTATTTGAACATAGATAAAAGATAGTTAAATATTGTTGACATCGGTTTTTTGGGAAAAAAATGTTGCTCTCACTTAAATGCCTTAATTTTCTAAGAAAAAGACAATAAAATATCTTGAAAATTGTTAAATGATAAATTAGTACGAGATGAATTTCAAAATATTAATTCATGCCTTTTATACTATTTTAGAATTTTTAAATCTTGTCAAATTATATAGATGCCCTTTATTTTTTTTTAAATATTACCACTTTAGTACCCTTAACCAGTTTTCTAGCCGCCCTTGTTGGTGGTCAACCGCCGAAACTCCGACAACATGTCATCAGAACTTCGTTGACTCTTCTTTCTTATGTATTGGTTACTCTAATATTATGACATACTACTTTCATTTTAAAAATTTGGTGACTACTCCTGTTTAGTTATATACTACTCTAGTTTCATTATTAATTACTTTTATTTCAAAAATTCAAAAAGTACATTAAGTGTTATTAGATATTCAATAACTACCTTTTGTTTAGTTATTTACTATTCTTATGTAGTCAATAATTATACAAAAGTAGTCATTGAAACTTTGAAAATAAAAGTAGTCAATAGTTAAACTAAAATAGTCAATAGCTATATGAAAGTAGTCATTGGGAGTAAGCGTAGTATTGTCATTTTATAATATTTTAAAATTTAAAAAATAATATAAGAATTTTGATTTGAAATATTGAAACTCACCTACCTTAGTTTGTTTGTTAACATTTTGAGGGTATTTTAGTGTTTTTTTTTTCAACTTTTTTCCAATCATTAAATGCCATCATTAACTCAACTGCAATCAAATGCATCTTTACTATGCAAGAGCAAGACGTAATTGACTAATTGTATTTTAATTATTCCTAGAATATTACTCCTTCTTGTCTATAATATAAGACATTAACTAGAAAAATTTATGACAAAAAATATAAGACATTATCAAGATAATTAATGTAATTTTTCACCCTCACCCCTATTAAATATAGGACAGAAAGAAGAGAGATGAAAACTAATAAAAAATATAACATCAAAGACAACTTTATTATTTTTTAGAAGTAAGATAGGAAAATTCTAGGAAAAATGGTAAAAGAAGACTGCGGAATAGAAAAATTGCACATACGGACTAATTTATAAAAATTATTGTCAAAACCCAAATTATTCTTGTTAAACTCCATACTAATATTGTCATGGGTCTTTATTCGTAATTTTTCTATTACAATGATCTTTTTTGTTATTTTCCCAAAATTCTATCAATTTAGGATAAATTTAATGTCTAAACTTATATTTTTAATATGTAAGAAAAGTTAATCAACTTCTTATATTATGAATCGGAAAGAGTATAAAGTGACTTAGAATTAGATGCCCCACAACCCTAAGTTGAAGAGCTTTGAACCATTTTAAATTTTTTTTTTTGATGTGGAATATCCAATTATTTTCTGGACATACCTCGCTTCAACTGGAAGAATTATGAGAGGCTCAGACAAATTTAGATAATTATGAAGGATAAAATTTTACTACCAACCTATCTCACCTCACCTAAAAGATTATCCTGGACCTATCGCATTCTAACTGGTGGTTGAACTTTCTACCTTTTATGGTCTTGCACAACTCAGGCGTGTCTGGGTATTATGAAAAATACTTTTTAAAAACTTTTTTTTCTCACAAATTGCGATAAATTACTGTACATATTTACCTTATATACTGTAAAAGCATTTTTAAAACTATGGTTTTAATTTATCCAAACATCCTCTCAATCTATATCAGCCTGCCCCAATAAATTCTGCAATTAAAGTGAGTAGGCCTAACAAATTAAATGCTCCAATAAAAAAAATTAGAAAACAATTTAAAACTCCTCACTACTAAACAAAAAAAAACGAAGTTGTCTTTTGTAGCGGTAACGTGAACATTTTGTAAAAATTATGCATCCAACTGACATGAACATGCAATGCTTTGACTGATAGTGACACGCATAATGACATTAGTAGCAATTGTTATTGTATTAGCAGCGGTTTTATATGTAACATCTGCAAATTATAATGTGAACGGTTGGGGCGGGAGAAATGGTTACGAAATTAGCAGTGGTTCAGTGCTAAAAAACCACTTCTAACGAAAAAAACGATGTGACCATTGTAAAATCACATGTTTGTAGCAATTCTAAATGAATTGTTGCAAATTCATTTGCTTTTGTAGCGATTTTCACGAACCACTGCAAACTTGACTCATTGTGGCATACTAACAGCAATTTGTAGTGGTTCTACCAAATAACTGCTACAAATAACTGTCAAAAACTGTTACAAAATACTTTATTACGCCTATTTTAGTAATGATTTAAATAATAGCTATAAACGCATTTGTACATTAAAAAACCACCACAAGCGCATCAAAATAACTGTTACATATGTCTGTTTTTTTTTTGGTAATGCAATAATTTTAGAAAAAATTCTAGATAAAGTTCTTCAAATATACATAATTTTAGATTGGGTTCTGGAATTGTGTAAATGACAGAAAGGATCAATGACCTAATCTGTCATTTGTAAAATCAAGAGGAATCGACAATTTTGTCCTCATTTGTATTTATTTATTACAATAATTTAAGAAATCATTATAAGGATTTAGATATTACCTAAATTCATGTAGAGAATAACTACTTATTTTTTCAGAGTCAGGAATGCCCCATGAGAAGGTATCTTGTTATTAACTACAACTAATCATGTAATCACTAGAACAGTGTAAGCGTTACTTAGATTCGTTTAGAGAATAACTACTCACTTTTGCCTTCATTTGTATTCATTCACTATAATAATTCAAGGAATCACTATAAGGGTTTAGGCATTACCTAAATTCGTGTAGAGAATAACTACTTATTTTTTCGTAGTCAGGAATGCTCTATGAGAATATGCCTTGTTATTAACTACAACTAATCATATAATCACTAGAACAGTATAAGCGTTATCTAGATTCGTTTAGAGAATAACTACTCATTTTTACTTAATCAGGACAAAATTGTTAATTTCTCTTAATTTTAAAAATGACAGATTGGGTCATTGACTCTTTTTGTCATTTACACAATTCCAGAACCTAATATGGAATTGTGTATATTCGAAGGGTTTTATCTAGGATTTTCCCATAATTTTATGCTAGGAATTAAATTAATTTTCAATTTTTAATAACATGATGATGCTGCACGCATTGGGAGCTATTGAATTAATTTGAATGCACAATATTGGGACTCGCTGAGGGAACTGAAAATCCAATGACATCCAATTAGCTGGAAGACAGGATTAAGAGAACCCCTCATTTGGCATCCATCAGGCATCATCAACAACAACGTCCACGATGAGGAGGAGAAATCACTCCGAACAACCGTCAGTTCAACCTTACGCAACACATGACAAGTTTGTTCCGTATCATGTGGCCTACCTACTTCCATTGCATGTTTATTTAATGAGTTAGATTCTCTCTTCAAAGCATAGCAGCAAACTTTTGAAGAGTGATTTGTTCTATTTCTCTAGTTCTTGCATTGAATTCGACTCCTACTTCTTCTCTTCATAATCTTGTATGGACATGTTAATGGTTCAATTTTTTATAAACTTCATTTTTCAAACATGTTTCAGTACTTTCACATCTTTCCTATCCCTTTCAATGCTTCTTCAAATAACTGGAATACCGTTTTATTTGCTTTTCTGTGTACCAGCCATAAATTTGAACCCAAATATTCCATCTTATTTGAGGTTTATTTCCTTTGCTTTCCATATTCCAATAGGGCAATGAAACCTTAGTGTTAGCAAAATGCTACTTACAACTATAAACATCTCAGCTGAAACATCACATGCACAGCAATCCAAACTCGATGGCACTTTAAAAGCAGGCTACAAACGTTGCAGGGGCCAAGGGCGTCTCCATCTCAGGGCTTCTACTGGAAACCTGAAATCCATAAACTGCAAGATTGATTCTCGAATGAATCTTCTTCCCCATGAAGATGAAGTTCCAGGGCCCTATAGTCCATCATAAAAACCACAGAGGAACAGAAAATATGACATGGCTGCATCTTGCAGGACACATTTTGACAGGCTTCGATCGATATCCCTCTCTTCCCAGGCAAGCCATGGAAAACCAGAGTACCCATTTTGTTCACTGAAAACCGATAGCAAATTATTTCACTGGAAAACCACCCTCCATGCCATGCCCTATTCTGTTGAAAGAAAGCTGTAGAATTAGGAGTTTAAACATTCATACTGACAACTCAAATGATCTCATCATCTCAATGGATTAAGTGCATGTTAGGCTTACATGCAAGATAAACATTTCCATGGGTAATACTCAATGAAAGAATCTCTTGCGACATCTAGCAGATCCAAGCTCCTCATACTCAGACTTGGTCACGCACATAGCTTCAAAATCTGGACTTGATGCCAACAATGATCCTCCACGCCAAACACCTAATATGGGACTGTAGAAGAAAAACAAGTTGACATGAAAATTAACAAAGACAAAACAGAACATTTCAAGAAAGATACTTACTCTTGTTGTTGAGTTATCTTCACATGGTAGTCATCAGGAACTAGAGGCCGCAGCTCCATCTCTCTGCAATTCAATTAGTATCAGTTATCTAAGTTTGAATGCCACGTTATTTATAAAAGAAGGCTATGGAGCCTAAGGAGGACAAAAATCGGAAGTACTGAATGCAAGGACTCAGGAAAAGAACCTACAATCTCTCAGCAAATTGAGGAAATAAGGTGCTTCCGCCAGTTAAAATGATGCTGACAAGAAATACAACTGGTGTTAAGAAAGAAATAAACTAACTACCCAGGAGGTATGAATGAAGCTGCAGTAACCTGCAAATAGTTCCATCAAATTCGAATACTCTGAAAGAATTACCTCTCATAGAGTACAGGGTGGAGTTGTGGATGGCAGCAGTTAATAGCTCGTACAATGCACTCTGCTATTCCAGCCTCATTCATTCCTGCAAAGCGGAGGAAACACAAGTAATAGGCAAAGGAAACTAGACTAAGATACTATCTATCCTTAAGTAGCACTAATTGCCAATAACGCCTCAATGTTCAATGGTTTCTTCATTCTTGTGTTGAAAGTATAATGCCATATAAACACAAGTTTAGCAAAAACAAAACATTTTCCTCATTAGATACTTTTAAGCAAGAGGGCAAGCAGGTTGAACAGTGTTTGAAAATAAAAAGAATTGAAAATAAAACTAAACGATACTAATCTAAGTCATTTACAGCCCTTTGATAAGGTCATAATTAATAAATTTCTTCAAGAGACTAAACTGACAGCAGATCACATTTCATTAGTGAGTAGTACTGGAACTATACAGACCTAAATCAGCAGGATGGAAGATCATTTCTGGGACAAGAAAGCGTTCATTTGTCAAGTCAAACTCCTGAAGTAGACAAATTGAATACAAGAAATTAAATTCAGTTGAGATAAATGAACATTAAACGTCAAGTAAAATGATGAGACCCACATTTTGGTCAAATCAACTCTCCTTCTTTCCTCAGGCTTTTCAGTCATTTCTGGATGATTCATATCCTCCTTTTTTTCTTTTGGAGGCAAAGGAGAATCATCAGCCAGAGTAAGATATCTGTGTACTTGATCTGGATATTTAACAAAGCCTTTTGTGTGTGTAACACCATCCGGAAGCACATATGTGCATCTAAAGAGATTTTCTTTTCCAGGTTTCCTACAGGCACAAAAGGGCAAATGAGAATCATTTCTATGACATGATTGTATTACGTAACATGCAAAGTAGACACAATTTACATAGCATAAAAAAATCACATAATACAAACATATTGACAATGGTTTGGAATTATAAAACTGATAACAATGCAACAAGCCACAAGCACTAGAAGAGATCCAAGGAGTGTATGGACATCCAATGAGAAGTACACAGATTATCCACTGGATTAAAGCAGCAAGATTTTAAAGCAATACTAAGTTGAACCATTTTCAAGTGTGAGGTAAAAATAATGTTCAGCAACAGGAAAAAAACAAAGTGGATAACCTTAATTACCTTGCAATCTGGAGATCCCGGGGAACATCAAGGGAAACAAAGCAGAGCTTCTCCTTAACATCATCCATAATAAAAGTTTCCTCCATGACATTAACAGCCCTAAAAGAAACCAACTCCTTCAGATAATTGGTCAATGCTTTGCCACCCAAATCGATTCTCTTCACAGCATAATTCAACGTGAAGTTCTGAAACACCGGTGAGGCGTGTGTGAACGAAAACCCGCAATCCACAACAAGGCTGCACTGCGCTCTAGAGACAAGACCTTCAGGCCTACGACTTGCCTCATAGAGATGAACCAAAGAGGGTGAGTCAGCCACATAAAGAGACTTAAAGTTGAAATCCTCAAAGACAAGCTCATCCATTGATCGCTGAATGGAAGGAAGGGCGAAGAGGGGCTCAGTGAGGAGGAGTGAAGAGTTTGATGGGTTTATGTGGAGGATGGAAGAGAAGAGGTGAGCCCATATCTCTCGTTGAAGTTCAGGATTTATCATATACCCTCTGTCCATGGGCCGTCGAACTGCAGCCGAGGTGAGGTCCACTTCACTGACTGAGGATGGTTCCATAGAGGAGGTGGTGGTGGTGGTGGGGTTGAGGGGGTTTGGTTGGAGCCATTTCTTGGAGGACGGAGGTCGGTAAAGGCAGTTGGGAACAACAACAGAGGGGTCACACTCTCCACCGAGGCCAGCTTTGATTAGGCCTCCACCGTTGTCCAGAACCACCACATTGTGGGGGGACATGTTAGTGACAACTCTCAGCAATGAACGGGCGTGAAAACTATTCCAATCCCCCTCGCTCTTGCGTATGCATTAACAGTACAATTCGATTCCCATTTGGCGTGACACAAGTGAGCTTATACCAAGCTTATTGATTTCAAATTGAAGTACTATGTTACCTGCGGGTCGCATGCAAGGTTATCAAACTTACAAATTTAAGAGACGACAAGTAAACGCATGATAATGCATATCAGCGAAGTATTTAGCATAAGCTACCAGTCAAGAGGACCTAATAGTTCTAAATCCACCATTTTTCTTACCGGTCCAAACTCTAAACTACAGACAAAGCCAGACACGTTATAGATTAAAGTGCTATTTTTCAAATGTATACTACTCGGCTAATACAAAGAACTACCTCTACCCTATTTCAAGCCTTCGGCTTACCTAAGAGGGAGCCTGGAGCTGAAGCTTCAAGAGCACCGCCGGCCAACGTCAAAAACCTGCGGAACCCCTCACCTACAGCAGTGAAAAGCCGGTTTCTAGCTTCTGTAACTGCATCAGCAGCCTTCGAGTTAGAGTTCGAACGATCTCAGCCGTGTCCGCGGTTGCGAAGCGAAAGAGGCGAGCTCCGGGTTTGGTTTGAGGTTCAACAGGGAATCTGCTTTTTTTTTTTTTTGGCACGGAAGATCTAAAATCAAAAGTAAAACAAAAATAATCTTACAGAATAAAAAAAATTGTAACAGGATTTTGTCCTTTTGAAACATCCGCTAATTTTTTTAGTAATAAAATATAAAGATTTCTTGTCAATTTTAAAATTGATATTTTAATTCGATTTTATCAATATTTCATCAAATTTTTTTTTAGCAAAAGCAATGCATTCATAAAAGAATACAAAGGAACAACCTGAGAAAGAGAGCAGGCAGAAAGTTGTCCTACACCTACATGGCTACTAACACTGTCACCAGCCATACAACGGACATAGATGAGTTCTGGCATTCTAGAAGGACTGACAAGGAGATTTAGAGTTTCTTTTCTTTCTTTCAGTTTTTTCTTCAAATATTCATTGTGTTTAATTTTTTTAAACATAAAATGAGGTCATTTCTTGAGGGTAGGAGATTGAAATCATTAAACTGGACAACCTATATTAATCAACGGGTTACATAGTTTTTATTGGTTCTTAATGGTTGAACTGGTTTTTTTTACCAGTTTGAGCATTGTTCGGTTTTTTCCCTCAACCAAACAGGATCGGAGACCGATTCACCGGTTTTCTGGTTGAACCTACCAGTCCAGTCCAGTTTTCTCTTCATTAGGTAAAATCATATGCACTCAAAAACTTCGTCATACTCGTCCTTAAGAGAATAATAAAACAAAATTAGTCATTTAATGACTTTGATTGTGACACTATTAATAACTTTCATTTCATGCCTCCTTCGGAGTCTTCTTGTCAAGAGTTTAACTTCCTTACATTTTTTATTTAGATGAAACTGGAACTATTTAAATTTCATTATTTTTAATTTTAACTAAAACTGCCATTTTAAAAATAAATGTCAGTAAGACCACTATATTTAAATGATCAAAATAAAAGGGGGGAAAATCCAGAATTCATTAAACTTCGCAGAAGAACAATCTACATATACACACACACAGGCATTTGTGTGTAGGTATATATACTAGGAGTGAACGAATTGAATTCAATTCCGTATTTGGGCGACTTATCAGGAGTGAACAAACCAAAATGCTTCTCACTTTCTGCACCTTGCTTTTGGTTTTCATCAAACATGGCAAACAAGTACGTCTTAATGGGTCCATTACGTTTTGGAGTCCCAACGCTGACGTGATTAATCAAATTCTGATAGTACGTACGTGCATCATCAACACTAGGCCCTTTATCTCCTCCAGCCGAAGGCCACCACTACAAAAAAATATGTTAATTCTAGCGGTTATGGTGTTACATTTCTAGCGGTTTTAACCGCTACAAATAACATTTGTAGCGGTTAACGAAACCGCTAGAAAAACAGGTGTTAGAAAAAATTTCTAGCGGTTATCTCAACCGCTACACATCATGGTCAAAACGATAGAACATTTCTAGCGGTTACGAACCGCTAGAAATTATCTGAAGGAGACACATTACTAGCGGTTACAAAACCGCTAGAAATTTTTTCCGGGGAAACTTTTCTAGCGGTTTTATAACCGCTAGAAACGTTTCCCCGGAAAAAATTTCTAGCGGTTTTGTAACCGCTAGAAACCTGCTAAACGGGAATTAAATAATTTCAGTAGCGCGCGAAAATTACTAGCGGTTATAGAACCGCTAGAAATATTTGGGAAATTAAATTTTCACACCAATTGAATTTTTAGAATGGCGGGAAAATTTTCTAGCGGTTCTTAACCGCTAGAAAGTTTGGCGCGAAATTTAAATTTGACGAAATATTTCTAGCGGTTCTGAACCGCTAGAAATGTTTACCGTGCCAGAAAAAAAAATTTATGGTTTTTCATATTATAATTTTAAAAACCATTAAATAAATTATTTTGAAGAATTTTTGTTAATTTGTATAATTAGTTATATGTTACATTTTATATATTCAAATTTTGTAATAAAAAATATGTAATTAAATTATGAATGTGTTAAAAGAAGTGAATTTAATCTAACAAGATAATTTAATTGAATATTTAATAAGATAGTTGAATTGAAGATGATATATTTTGGAATATTGAACCTATAGTATTAAGTTGATGAGTATTTGAATCAGTTGAGGAGGGCATGACAAATGTGGAGAAGAAAAATCTGAAAGGAAAGGAGAAATAAATATGTTAGTAAATTTTAAATAAAAACAAATAAAAGATACAATGAATTATAAAATAAAATTCACTTACCATAGAGTAAAGAGAAAAAAATCACAATATGAGATAGTAAGAAAAAAAGAGAGAATTATGAAGAAGAATAGGAGAGGAAGGAAAAGAGATGGAGTAAATGAATGTAGAGAAGATATGGTATTTATAGAGATCAGCGACACATTTGTAGCGGTGTTTTTGTAGCGTTTTATAACATTTTGTAGCTGTTATTCATTTTCTAGCGTATATAAAAGCGCTAGTAATTAGTAGCGGTTACATATGTAGCGGTTATTAACCGCTAGAAAGTTAGTATTTTTTATTTTTAAAATCTGAACGAATTTTAATTTACAGGTATGTATTTTGTAGCGGTTCATAACCGCTACAAATTTTTTCACGATATTGTAATTTGTAGCGGTTATTAACCGCTACAAATTACAATTTTCACGAAATTGTAATTTGTAGCGGTTAATAACCGCTACAAATTACAATTTCGTGGAAAAATTTGTAGCGGTTAATAACCGCTACAAATGAAAATTTTTTTATTTTTAAAAAATTTTACGAATTTTAATTTATACATATGTATTTATGGACGAAAAATTTGTTAAATAATTTATTTTGGATGCTGCTACTCTCCATCATCATCCGGCCTGAAAGGACATATTTTAAAAAAATTTGTTAAATTTATGTTGTATTTGGAAAAAATTAGTAATTAGTAGTTAATTATTTAAATAATTTAAGAAAAGACGTGTACCTGATAAGTGGCAAATTATCATCTCCTTGAGGAAAGAAGTCTTCAAAATTCGAGGGTTGGAAGGGTTCACTGTCGTAAATAATGTCACCATCACCCATATCGTAAAGATCCCGTGGCTTGAGGTGAACGACCATATTCCAGTCTTTATGTTTCTCGTCCTCGACATAGTAAATTTGGTGTGCCTCAGAAGCAAGGATATATGGCTCATCATCTTCAGATGCCCCCGTATGAATAAGTCTTGAGAAATTGACTGAGGTGATGCCCAAATGGTCAGTAGCGAGTCCCCGTGAAGTTGTCGTATTTGCCCAGGAGCATTTGAACAGTGTCACGGTGAAAAGCTGGTAAGTCAACTCAATAATGTCAATTAGCTTTCCATAGTAAGTGACGCCTCCAAAGCGCATATCGCCATCACTACTGCTAGCATAACATCTCGTTCCGAATGTCCCGCAAACTCCAGAGTTTTGTGTGAGCAATCCCTGATCACGTGCAACCGTACAGAACTTGAAGCCGTTGACATTGTACGCGGTAAACCTCCGTGCATGGTCTAACGGACCGAGAGAAAGAGCTCTGAATTCATCTGTGTATGGGCTGTTGTCATTACGTATTCGACGTGTAAACCAACTGGGAAACTCTTTGTGGACTCTTTTATCAATGTCAGCAGAACGCGCACGGCCCCGTAGCTGACGCCTGAGATAACTCCTAAACTCACTATAGTAAAGTGTAATTTGTTAGAAGAGTCAATAAGAAACAAATATAAAGTGTAAAAGCTAGTGAGCTTATATGATATATATACTTACTGCATGAAGGGTTCAACTTGGCTGCAATTTATCAAAACGTGTCTGTGTGCCTGGAGTTTCTCTGTAGGAGTGAGTCTGAAGAATTCATATCCTCCAACTGGTTTCCCAACAGGAGGAAATAAAGTTGACGTGGAAGGACCGGGAGGAGAATCATCTACGCGACGCGGGCGGTTAAAAGATGTCTCCATGTCATCAAAGTACCTCGAACAGAAAGTTAGGACCTCATCTCCGGAATAACCTTCTGCTATTGACCCCTCAGGCCATGCCTTATTCCTAACATATGATTTTAATTTTCCCAAGTACCTGTAAGTTAAAATTGCATTAATAATTACGAGTAAATGAAAGAACAATGTGAAATTTAAAGAGGCGGGAATAAAAGATAATCTAGTACCTCTCTATAGGGTACATCCATCGATAGTGAACTGGGCCAGCAACCTTTGCTTCTCGAACAAGGTGGACAGTCAAGTGAACCATAACAGTAAAGAATGATGGAGGAAATATCATCTCCAAGTGACAAAGTGTAAGAATAATTTTATTTTGCAGCTGATCAAGCTCTTCCGCTACCAAGACCTTCGCACACAACTTCTTGAAAAATGAACATAATTCTACCAAAACCACCGATACATCAGAAGGAAGTGTGTTTTTCAAGGCCAATGGAAGTAACTGTTGCATAAGAACATGAGAGTCATGACTTTTCAACCCAGTAACCTTTCGAGCCTGCAGATCGATACACCTTGAGATGTTGCTAGAATATCCATCTGGTACTTTTATGTTCTTCAACGTCGAGAGGAAGATATCCTTGTTCTGCTTTGTCAAGGTGAATTTAGCTGGCTGAAACTTGTCGTTTTCATCAGGCCAAGCCTCTTCACGAATTCCCCAGGCCCGTAAATCTTTTCTAGCTGCGAGATGGTCTTTGGACTTTCCAGCTTCATTGAGCAACGTATATAGCACATTATCGCACACATTTTTTTCAATGTGCATAACATCCAAACTGTGTCGTAGCAAATTAGATTCCCAATAAGGAAGAGTGAAAAATAT